CACACATACACAAACAGGAAAGGATTAGTGTGCTGCTAATTAGAGGCAAACCTTTGAGTTTACCTATTTGCTGGGTACATGTATAATACTTGAGCCGATCCTGCACATGGAGGAATGTTCATATGAACTTCGGCTGAAGTACATAACGTTACTAGTACTATGTTTGTTTCAACAGGCGACATAATGCGTCACCTGGTGACACAAGCATAGTTATGAGAGTACTGATAACTACAAGTATATCTCAACGTTTAGAAAAGTAGACGCTCGGCTCCGAGAGAAAATCAGTAGATGTTCATTATCCAAATGGATCCAAGAGTGTACATTGCTACCAATGTGAACGGTCATCACTATCCAAAAGTCACTGACCTGTCGCCCTGCTCATACATTCCACCATACACAAACACAGTGCCACCCTTGGTAGCTAGCGAGGCACTGATGCGAGGAATGGGCCCAGCACAGATGTCCGCAGCCGCTTCCGAACCATCACCTGCGGCCTGTTTGTCTTTGCTTTCCGCTGATGCCGCTGCCGCGGACTGCCGTGCTGGATCTGCTTTCTTCATCACCACTGTGAAAACTGAGTCTGGGCAAACTGTCACAACATTGCCATCCGTGCTCACTCCATCGCCAGAGGTTGCTTGCTCAGAAGCTACAGCTGAACTTGATGGGTCAGGTGAGGGATTACTCTGATCTTGGCCATCATTCGCATCGGCATCTTCCTCGTCCTCATCATCAGTGTCTGTTTCGTACTCGCTCTCATCATCATCACTATTATCTGCTTCATCCTGAGCAGCATCTGCAGCAGAAGCTGATGCAGCTTTGCTCTCCTGTGAGGCAGGCTTCTTCTTGCGGCGACGCTTGACCTTAGGACCACCGGCTTGTCGGCTTAGCTCGTCCACGTTCACCTGAGGACATGGATAAACAGGAATTCAAGAAAAAGAACAGCAGGTCGGTTTCTAAAGCGGGCCCAGCAGCACACCTTTACCCCGTCATAAAGATAGAGGGTTTGGTGAACTGAGTACAGATCCGGATTTAGATTGAGCTAATGATATCACACGAGAAAGGTTCGTCCAAAGGAGCAGCGTGGGGAGGGGGATCAATTGTACTTTCCAGTGTGTATACATAAGTACCTAGCCCTGAAGAGTGTGCAGCTCCCACTATCAGTGCTGTCTGCACAGAATTTCAACATGGGGTCGTTTTCATGATGCATACATTCAGATGTCTCCGTGGACCGGGGTGGACATTCCGTGGTCCAATCCTGTACAAACTTGTGTGAGCAGACATGTGTGACGTGTTGGCACATTTTTAGAAACATAGCATGACATGTGCATACAAGGAGCATTGCATCATTAACCATATTTTTTTAATGCCAAATCAAAAGTCTGCACAGCGCTGCACACGGGAGTTGAGCACTCTTGGTTATTGGTATGTACTCTTGATGTGTGGAGGCACAGTCACTAGCACCAGCACCCCCCCCCCCCCCCATGCAAACTCCATCACATGTCAGACATGGAGAATACCACTGCACTGATACAGACACATGTATTGCCAATAAGCAGAACACCCACCTCAAACCAGCGAGGCGGCTTTCCATCCGTTGCCAGTTGGTACATGTCGGCAAGAAACTGTGACTGAAGGCCTTCCTCATCCTTGTCCACATCCTCTGAACCTCCAAAGAGCAAAGCACGTTTCTCTGTCAGCTGAATAGTAGTAGCACCACTTCTTGCTCCAGGCCCCTGGCCACTTGGGTTGATCTGGATTTCACAGTAAGTATGAAAGCACAAGAAGGTACAAGTAACTTAACATGGAGCTACACAAGGTATTACGACGTGTAGTACATTAGGTCTTGAACAGCATTCTACAAGCAAACCTCAGTCAATAGAGCACTGCTGTTACTGCAGCTCCATGGCTAAACCAATAATTACGCCACATCAGGTGCAGTTTGCCCAAACAGCAGCAAGTTGTCCAGTGATGCCTTATTGCAAGCACAATCAACTCTCCACAGTGCTACTCTTGGAAGTACAGTACAATACGTACCTTCGCCCACTTCCACCGGAGACCAGCTTCGGCTTTCTTCGTTGCTGGCTTTTTACTGGAGGAAGCAGCTTTAGCAGCTTCGGAACTTGCTGATGGAGTGTCGAGCGGCACGAGGGACCAGGCATCCGCCAGGATGACAGGCTTCTGCGCACCATCACGCTTGACCTTCTGCCGGCTATAGCCGCCGATCACCAGCAAAGCACCGCGCGGTGTTGTGCTCAGGCATGCAGCCGAGCGTGGTGATGGTCCACCGGCAGCATTGATACGATGCCACACTTGCGATTGCAACGAGAATGCATACACATCGTTGAAGTATAGGAAATCACTGAAAACACACACACAGACAAAAACACACACATACACAAACATACACATACACACACAAACACACACACACAGATAGAAGAATGAATCACTTGAAGACACACATACACTGTACAGAGTAAGAGTACATGTATGTAACTTCCCAGAGCGAGCAGCTGCTGATGGGTAGCTGTCACAGCTTGTTTTCAGAGTCATGTTTCATGATGTAACCAGCTCAATGCATGTACTTCAGTACTAGTATTCAAGACTGCATACATGTATGTGCGCAAAGCAGTTTTGTGCACAGTCGAATGCATTACGTCACGCATCACGACGTAATTCTGAAAAGGAGTCATAATGGACTCAACCACTCTTGTACTGGTAGATGTAGCACACGCGTGTCGAGTAACACCTTTGGCATACGTGCCATGCGTAACTCACTGCCTAGGTTAGTTCTAGCGCTCCTGCAAGGGCCTGGTTTAATTTCTGGCGTTGACAAATTATTCTCATCGCTACAGTACCAGGTTCGGCCTTATTTCTCTGTGTTGCACTGATGATTCCATGAAGGATGAAATGGTTCTGCCCGCAGATTGAGTGAAAGATATTTCGAGCATATCGCCTTACCGAGGTTTCTCATGGAAGCCTCCGAACACTATGAGGTGTTTGTTGGCCACAACCATTCGATGTCCACTGCGCGATGATGGACCACCTGGTGCCCTATACACAAAAACAAAAAGCAACAAATTTAAAAAACGTATGCACAGAACACACAAACCTACTTGTGTGTGTGTGTGTGTGTGAATTTGGCCTAATAGAAGGGTGAAGCATCATAACCTTTATCAAACTATGAAGGCATAAGCTAGAGCACAAGCTCAGGGGGAGGGTAATGGATATGCTATACAGAGAGGGATATCATCCATGTGAAAATACATAGCTGGTTGCATGTTGGCTACTGAGCAGCTCTCACTTGACATTTTCCCACTTGGCATGAGCCAGGTCCAACATCCACAAATCCCGGAAGTGATGAAACGATTCGTTATTCGCTGAAGTAAATTCACCACCAAACAGCCACATTTGACCACCACCTTGCGGCACGCAGGCAGCCTAGAGGCACAAGATAAAACCAGAGAAAAGAGTGATATCAACATCACCAGAAAAAATTATAATCCCCAAACATGCCTTCTACAGTGCACAGTGACCTATGCGTTCAGACACAACATAATTATAGCGTTATTGCATTGAAAGGGATGGTTCAAGTTGCACTTTAGTGTTTGTGAATGGTGCATGGTCGAGTATCCACTGCTATCCTTTCATAAACTTAGTGCCGTTTAGCGGCATTTACTCAACACAAAGTTTTAATTACTTCGAAGCATAATCAGCAGAATGTTAGAACAACAATGGACAAAGAACACAACGCATTCAAATGTATTCAGGACTTGTTGTTATGACAGCAGCTACACATCTGCTACAACTTGTTTCAAGCACTGCCAACACAAGTAAGTGTTATTTCTACTCCTTAGTTCCCTATAATAGCCCCTTAGTTGCAATTTGTTCATTGGTAGAACAGAGCTTTCTGACGAGAGCTGTACGAAAATTGTTTCCAAAGTATTTTCATTGTTCATACTTGTACAATATTATTGTTTATCAAATTCTCTACACCATCGTTGTTTGTTTGTAGTTTATCACTACATGCACCTTCTTGCTTTGTTCATGCCAAATCCGATAAAACCGCTGTGGCATGTGGCAAGTTATCAGCTGGTCCTATTGATAGCGAAAAATAATAATACAGTACTTTCGAGGATTCAAATCAAGATGGAGATGCAATATTCCTAGAAATGCTTGAAACTCTCCATTGAGCTTTACGAATTTACATGTAAGACCAAACATGATACCTGGTGACTAGAGCGAGGCGGCGGTGGATTGGGAACGTCCCATTTGATCCATTCGTCGTGACGGATGTTGTAGATGAACAGGTCATTGTAGCAGCTTGTCTGCAAATGCAAATGGACACAACATCTTATTGGAAATGGCTACATTTCCCAAAAATCCAACATAGACAAGAAACCAAAATAAAAGAATAGATAAGCTACGTATCCATGGACCAATTCATTAATCCCCTCCCCACAGAAGGCACAGTGGTCTGGGTACAGCAAATTTACAAAAAATTGAACAAACAATTGGAACGTCCCTGCCCACTGATTGGTGTCTAACGGTGACTATACACTCGTGACCATCACATACAGTATCTTCAAACAACAAACGCACCTGGCGGCCATCAAAGAACTCCCCTCCGAAAAGCAACAGTTCCTGCTTTTCAGGATGGGCCACGAGTGATCCAAAGCATCTGAGAACAAGAAAACAGTCAAGTACAATCTCACATGCTACAGTACAAAGAATGATCGAATAAAACTGCAAATATTGCCACATCACATAATTGCTTCATGCCACATGGTTCATTGCCATGATCTTACCTTGGTGAAGGCGGAGGGCATTTCGTCTCCGTCACTGCTGTTCGTTTCGCATCAAGCTCGCGGATTTCCTTGAGTATTGCATCGAAGTCCTCCTGAAAAGTGAAAGAGATTGAGGGAGAGACAAACAAAATGCGGGAATATAATTCCATGAGCATAGTCGTGAACTGTTTAGTTACCATAGCATTCCGTTGCTCTTGCTACGCACATGTCGACTTTCTCTCAAGTGCTGGTGTCTACTTTATCTCAAGTGCTTGCATTCACCCATCCTTAGATTCCTACAGTGCAGTTCGCGAGAGGATACAACTGCATACTGTCCAGGTGAGAATGACTATTTTAGTCGCAGTATGTAAGTAGGCTTTGAAAGCAGAATCTGTCATATTTCGTCCACTCTCAATCAGGAACCTTATGACATGTGCTTGGCGTAAATCATGTTTGGCTGCTCCTGAGATAGTAACATGCACATCAGCTGAGCTGTACTTCATAGCAGGTCACACCAGACTAGTAAATCAGTAATCCTCAGCGAGTTTCTTCGGATTAGACTTTTTCAAATTTTCATTTTGATTTCATCGTCGAGTTTCATCCCTTGTATCTTTGGTGTTCTTCCTTCTTTCCATGTCGTATTGTTTGAATAAACCCGTTTTGACTAGTAATCCTCAGTCTCAGCTTTGTAAACCAGCGGTGTAGCTGTTTCAGTAGACACCCTTAGCAAACAATGGTAACGCTATTTTTTACGGTACTCGTACCTTGATCACCCAAATAGCGTTGAAGCCGCAGCGTAAAAACGTTATGGGGGCTGATTTATCGTCTTGACCAACGGTACGTGTTTTGGCCAAATATTGCATAGTCCGTACGCATTTCACCTTGTATCGCGTATATGGTGACATAAATGGTTGTACCGCGCGAAACGAGAGAGCTTGGAAGCTCAGGGCCCTACGCTATGCTTTTTTGCCTTGATGACCTAGACAAACAAAGCATAGGGATGTTATAAATTCTTATAAGTTTCTACTTTTTGTTTTTAGACATAAACCTGGGATTCGAACCCGCACTATCGCCCTGCATGCATCCCCCGATACACTTCGCATACATACTAATTCTTCCAAGTTGCTTCACGTTATGATCTTGTATTTGAAAGCCCTATTTGAATATGCATTGTGGCCAGCCGTCTTTGGTTGTACGGTACGGTACGGGATAGGTACGGGACAGGTGCGGGACAGGTACGGTCGAGGGTAATACGACACCGTCTACCGCCTTGATGACGGCAAAAAAAGAAAAGGGATGTTATAATTTTTTCAATTCTCCTATTTTCTTCAGGCATTACCTGGGATTCGAACCCGCACCATCGCCCTACATGCATTCCCCCATACACTTCGCATTCATACTCATTCTTCCAAGTTGCTTCACGTTGCGTTTGAAAGCCCTATTTGAATATTGCGGCCAGCTGTATGTGGCCAGCTGTGTTTGATGGTACGGTACGGTACGGGACAGATACGGGATAGCGCCAGGCGTGACACAAACACACAAACAAACACCAAATTAAAGCTGTGTGGACCCTGGCTAGCGCCAGACGTTACTGAAGTAAACGTCTTCTGCATAGCTACGGGAATAAAAGCTATTCTCGTAGCAACAGTGTTCTAAAAATACCGTGCATCTTGCTAAAGGTCAAACCCAAATCACGATATTTTTCCCCTTACGGTAATACCGTTACAACATAACGTTTTTTGCCAAGGGTGTCTAGTGTTTGCTGGTAACGACACCACTAGCTCCATCACAACCTCATGCATCGATTAGATGAGTGAAAGCAGATCGAAAACAGAAGATGAAAGCCAGGGAGGCCAAGATTAGCATATGGTCACTGCAACAGTCCACCTGGGCCTCGATGTAGTCATGGTTTGGAGGTAAGGCGGACACATGAACTTCGACTAGAGGCACAGGACACATCAGTTGTGCAAAAAGACTTTCAGTGTAAATCAGTGATGCAATATGACTCATTTCACCTCCTAGCCGCAAAAAGCACCACATGGAAACAAAAGCAGGCTGATTTAGGGCCATCATGACAGCACACACCATCTCACAAAACAGCTTCATTTCGCCCAGGGCCAAGAAAACACGTCAAGATTGTATGAATTATGTCGCACTGAGCCCTATGGTATTCCAACCCCCGGTATTTCTTGAAGTGCATATAAAAGGTGCTGATTTTGAGTCTGCGAGCCAAGCTGCACTAAATGGGGTGGCATTTGTACTTGAACTTGAGTCTTACGTGCAACTTGTGCTTCGAGATACAGTGTACATACAGACGAGAATCTGTTACACAGGCACTGTTTCCTTTCAAGTCAGCTGGGTGAGAAGCTTTGTTGTAAACTGCTGTACTATTTTACCGATAACCAGATAACCGTGCTTTGAGCCCTGGTTATCGGTCTTTTTTAGAGTACGTTGACACGATAATTTCCCTCAGAATCAAGATTAATAATAATTTTTTATCCATTATCAGTTCAAAACATACCTCTCCTTCTCCTTTCTTCGATTTTTGCTTCTTGTCAGCTTTTTGAGCGGCTTTTTCTTGAGCCCTCCCTCGCTTCTCCTCTGACTTTTTCTTTTTCCCCATGGCTAGCTCCAGATCAGAAGGCAACCCACGGCCACTGCACTACGAGCGCTGAGCGAGAACTATAGACTTGTAAGTTGTATAATACAAAAGACTAGTACTAGTAGTATTCACGTCTTTTTTGTGCTGAAAATAATAGTATTACGATTGTCTTGTCACGTGCGCCTTGCACGTGGATGCATACGTAAGCGCTAGGCCTAGCCCAAATTTGCTCGAGGCGCTTCGATATTTTGCCGGCAAATTTTGCCCGAGCACTTTCCATATTTTGCTTGGCATTGCCTTTTGTTTCCGATATTTTGCTCCATTTTGCTCCTGCTTTGTGGCAAAAATGGCTTCGAATGAACCGTCTACTTTGGTAAAAGTGGATGGTGACTCTGATGAGGAAAGCAAAACTTATAATGGTGTCAGTATTACAGATTTTGTAGCATGATTTCAAATTTATGTACCCCTGACAACCTGCACGAGCTATTTCAGCACGACATTGGCCCATGAAACCAAAGAAATTTGAATAAAATTGCCAAAACACACCAGGATCCTCTGTAAATTCGATAATTTTCTCGGAATTTGCCGGCAATTTCTTTTCGTGGGAAATTCCGATATTTTGCTGGAAGCATTGCCGGCAAATTTGGGCTAGGCCTAGTAAGCGCACGTGCCCGCGCGCTGATCGCGCATACCAAAAACCTCAATGACAATGGCGAAGGACTAAAGCCCAGGGACCGTCACTTAAAAGGTGGCGATCTACCTTCAGGGGTCAAAATTTTGTGAAATTTTCAACTTGCTCTAATTTCGTCCAATGCGGTGTCAAATTGCTCGTATAGATCCCAGACATCATTTCTGAAAATTTGAGTGAGATTGCTTTATCCATATGGCTGCTATGAGCTTGCAAAGACCGAATGTAACATATCTTTGACTCGCACAATTGCAACTTTTTGGGGGAAAACGTAGAAATCGGTCTTTTCACGGTAAATCCTTGTGGATTTTGTTCAAATTTTCTGTGCTCGTCAGAAATACCACTGCTGACTCATGCCATACCAATACGCACATATTACGTCATCATGGACACAGTGCGCATGCGCAAATCAATAATTCGATAATTTGTGAAGAATTCAAACAATTGTGTTTGGAAAGTCTATTGGAGACGTCTCACGTCGTCGCCTGTCACCAAGATCGGGTGGAATGAGTACTGTCCGTCGTCTTGGATGTCCGAAGCAGCCTATATGACTGCCAGAAGCTCTCGATATCCATCTATCCGCTGAAAATATCCCTGACGTTGACGACGCTGTTCAAATTTATTGGCAAAAAAATTGCCAAGCGAAGACGTATTTCAACTTCATCTCCAACTCTGACTACTCTGATGATGACGATGTCAACAACAGTTCTAGCTATTGTGGTGATTAGTTTTTCTCTCTCTCTTTCGGCGTCAGGCAGTGAGTGCAAAATATAGCCTACTGGAGTTAGTCTGTGAAATATTCGGAGTGATTTCTGCTGTTTCTGGTCAAATCAGTATGCTGTCAGCTGTACCAGTCCACATCCCATCGTAGATCTACTAAGCGAGCAGGCAAACCCAGATATTTGCCTTGGGATTTCATTGTGTGTGGTGAGAAGAGAAGTCCATTCACTTCTGAGAAATTCAATTTCAAATTGGAAGTCCACAGGCCTGTATTTAGTATGCGCCGAATTCATCACCGCCAGTGACGCGTTGCATAGTTTTCAATATTCTACTGCCCATATATACTAAGACCTATGGCGGAACGCGATCCTATTCAATCTGTGGTCATGTTCTCCCAGATGAGTTCAGAAGCAGACATGTGATCTGCTACGCTGGACCTGAGGCAATTTACCAAAGTGGCAGTGCTGCAACCGCATGCGATCGCCGTGATGTGTGACGGAAACGGCATGGCTGCACCCTGGATATGCCTCATTCATCAGCACCTTTATTGCCATACCCATGGAGAGAGGCCACCAGTGAAGGCTGGGTTTCCGACTTGATTTTGTCTGCAATGATCCTGATTGAACAAGCCCTTAGAGAAGAAATGAAGACTCTAGCTGAACACTGAAACCAGATAGCATCGCGTTTCTGCTCGGCACCGCACTAAGTAACACCATTGTGATACAACCAGGAAAAGCTGGGAACTTGTGGGAAGTGACAAAGAAGTCAAGGAAGAAGTAAAGAAGACTGAAGAAGAGCATCACTAATCATCAAGGAGACCAAAATGAGGTCACCTACGAGCCAGATGGCTTCTGATGTGAAGATTTGTAGGCAGGTAGGCTGGAATTGGATAGACCTTTTTTGTGTGTTTTTGGTAACTTTTTAGCCTATCCCGCATTTTTCTACCACGATTGCGGCAAAGTGGTGGGTGCTATACCCCTAAACCTATACATTTCTGAGCTCTGTGATGCATCAGCTAGTTCGTGAATGTCTTCGTTTAGCCATTTATCATTGCTTGTTCTCACATTGGTTGTGGACCCGATCATGACTTTTTTTGCGGATGCGCGCGTCAAAACGCTTTGTTGTGACATGGTGATCTAAAGGACTTTGCAACTGTTTCTTGATATTCAATACCTAGAAATATATGTTAGGAACGCTGTAGCAATTGGTTATTTTCTACTTGATGGATGCATATTTCAATTTTGCGGTTAAGAGGTGCGGGTGCGGCCAATTATCGCGATTCGGCAATAACAATGGACATGAGCAGAGTCTGTCCTCTATTTGTGCTGCTCCTTGTCCTTTGGTACATAATGAATGTCTCCAGAAAATTTGACCTAATTCCAAAGAGAATTGGCTGAGATGTTTGTATTTTACGGTGGACTATCCGCGAAGGTAGATCGCCACCTTAATTAATTTTTGCCGACTACCCGCCAAAAAAATCTTTTCGTTTCACGTGTCACTGACACGTCCGCGGACCGCGAGCGCGTACGACTCGTACTCGACTCGCGCTACCTTTCACGTCAAGCAATCTGTTCACGCCACGGCCCGGGTGTTTCGCAGCGGCCACTCGTCAAGATGGCGGCAAATCCGAGAGTACAAAAATTTCGACTCTGCCTATGTGCGGCGGATGCGAATCTCGCACGTGCATGCAAAATCTAGCCTTCTGCAGATCTGGGTAGAGCAAGTGTACGTGTGTGGGAACGACGACCTTTTCCGAGAGAGAATGTGGCTCTTTTCATCCCAACATTTTACTCGCCACGCTCTCCCTCCCAGCTTGTTGATACGAGTATCTGCTACCGAGTAGAAGTCTCCATCTTCACAGTAGGCCAGGCATAATCGCAACGTTGAAATACTTTGCTCACTTGGTTTTTTTGGTCCTTTGAGATGATGCGGCTGTTGTGTACAACTCGAAGTGACAAACTTGAGACCCCCGCGCCACAAAAAAGTAAGGCGCGCCACAAAGTTTCGTTTGGCTGTTCGATGAAAGGATGTATGGAAGCAGGGATAAAAACTATCGTAGCTGCCGGCAAAACTCCTAGTAATGTAATAAACGGGGGTGTGACTTTGGTAATTCTAAGAAGAATGTACGCACCGCCATTCCACAACGAGACGAAACTACGATCTCAAAAACACTCCGATTTTCAAACAAACGACGCAGGAAAGAAGACATGGCCGCAGTGTTTCCGTGTGGTCTTCAAAACACCTAATTTTACTTCGATAGCGGCTGGTTCAGGGCAAATTCAGGCCCTATTCGACAGCGTCGTACCACTCAGATTCGCCCAAAACACGAGGAAATGTACGGTAGATCCAAATGCGTACGCATTTTGCGTACGGGGACGACTGGCCAGAGTTCATGCACTGCAAACACCCGTGACGCCACATGGCTGGGTAGCGCGTACATGCATGGAAGCATGATTATTATTATTAGGCCAAACTAAAGAAGGTGTGTGGTTCGACTAACATGGACATTTTTTTTACGGGCGGGCGGGCGGATTTTTTTTTTTAATATATTTTTTAGTACATGTAAATACACTGTATACGCGTATCGAGTAGACTCTACTACCAGCACAAGGCAGCAGTCGTACCACTCACTGCGCTGCACTGCAGTACAACTACAAGTCAAGTCCAAAAGGAGCCGCCTGCGTCCGCAGACTCACGCCGCACAGCACGTAGACGTGGACGTGTTCAGTCCACGTACGTCAGTCACACGACAGCCCGCCGAAAAAAAGTTACGGTCGGGCTGAAATTGTACGGTCGGTCGGGTGAGTCGAACCACACACCTTCTTTAGTTTGGCCTTATTATTATTATTAAATTTTTGATAGGGCAATCCCCACAGGCCTAAGGCCTTTTGACAGGGTACCCTAAAAAATGAAGAACAGAATTACGGAAGGTATGCAAGGAAGAACTTGAGCGGACCTCCGCTGGGAGGGCATTCCAGCGGTCAGAGCCAAGGAAAGTGACAGAAAATAAACCATAGCGACGTTTGGCTGTCGGAAGAGCAAGGGAAGAGGACACTTGAGAGCGGGTGCGAGAACTAGTGCAGGTAGAATTAGAGCGGAGACAGAAACAGTTAGCAACAAAGACACTAGCCAGATCATGAAGCGCACGGTACGTTAGAACGTACAGCTTGAATTGGTACCTGACAGACAAGGGAATGATATGGTAGCGGGCAAGAACAAGGGAGACATCAGATAGGCGGGGCATGCAAAATACAATACGCAGCGCTCTATTACTAAGTCGGACAACACGGTCATGGAGGGAGGCAGAAAGGCAGTGAGCAAAGGAATTAGACCCATACTCAAGTATGGACTGAATGGAACAGATGTAGAAAGCCCTCTTAGCATCGATCGTTAAATGGTCTCGGACCTTTCTAAACATTCCTAACTTACAGCCTATTTTACGTTCTAATTGTGCAATGTGAACTCCAAAGGAGAGATGTTCGTCAAGAACTATACCGAGGTATTTCACGTGTGCACTAGGGGTGATGGTGACATCTTCAATCTGAACGTTGACATCGGGGTCAAGAGGTTTCGACTTTGGCCTGAACACAACAAGCTGGGTTTTCGAGGAGTTCAACATAAGACCTCTCGTTGCCAAGAATTCCTTTACTTTGATGATGTCCTCTGTGAGGTCTTTGCATAAGTTCTGGACATTCTTCCCCGC